TTTATCCTGCCTATCTTTATCTAGATCAGTGGTTCTCAACCTTCCTAATGCTGCGATTCTCTAACACAGTTCCTCATGTTGTGGTGACCCTCCCAATTATAAAATTATTTTTGTTGCTACTACATAACTGTAAATTTTGCTACTATTATGAATCGGGCGACTCCTGTGAAAGGGTAGTTCGATCCCCAAAGGGGTCACCACCTGCAGGTTGAGAACTGCTGATTTAGATAGACACGCAGAGACAATTAAAGAACAAAAACATGACAGCAAAACAAAATAACAAAAGAAAAAAAAACACAGCAAAAGCAACAACAAAAAAGCAACGACAAAAAAGAAAAGAAAAGTCTATAAATAGTTCAAGGTTTGTTTGTTGCCCTTTAGGAGTGTTTTTCAGTTGATTCTGATGGGGTGCTGTGCCATGGCCCCAAAGTTTATTTTTGGTATTCCCTGAGGACTTTGTTGCTTTGCTCCCCTTGATGCTCTGTTGCATGCCCTTAGTGTTTCGCCCAGGGAAGATGACATTTCACAAGAGGGTAAACCTAGATAGAGTTTTTTAGACACAGGGATCTTTTGAAGGTGTCACAGTTGTGTTATGTTCACAGTGGTGTTGAAGAGACTCATCTTGGTTTTCTTGAGAGAAGGGGATCAAGGAGGGCCAGAGTCTGTGACTAGCCCTGGGTAGAGAAGTGGTCATCTTTTACAGAGAAGATGAGCCTTAAATGTTGCCAGGTGAGAAAATGGCCTGGGACAGGGGGCATAGTTGACCTCTTCTGCCTTCTCTGTTGCCACAGGCAGACATACCATCACTCTTCTTCTTTCTTTCCTTACCTGACAACAACCACTTAATCAGCACTCTACTCTCCTGGGTTTGATAAGTCATTGCCTCAGCCACACAGAAGGCACAGACAGAACTCATGATTAAGGGGGGTTAGTACGAAAGTTACCAGGTTACCAAAGTCAGGATCAATAAACAGTATTGATACCGTCATTGGTCTATAACAGTGTTTCTCCTTAGCCAGCAGCCAAGTCTCTATCTCTGGTTCTGTCTCTAAGCCACCTGGTCCTTTAATGTCTGCCTCCAGGGGCCAGGAGGCCTGCCTCTATGCTGCTCTTCTGCTGAGTCCCGTGGTCTGCGTGCACAGCCTCTGTCGCCCGTGGTCTTGACCTCTGACAATTCAGACAGAGGTCTTCAGCGTGCACTGCTGGAACACGGTGTTTCTCCTTCTGACATGGCTTCTTTTATACGGAGGTGTGGATTTGTCTCTTAGCAGACCATACCCCCAAGGAAACAAGAAGTACACTATGGCTAGCAGGACCATATTAAGTAACGAATCATGTCTCACCAGGGGAATGTGGCCTTATAGTTTGATATAAGAGAATTAAAGGAGTCACTGTGTGAGGCAAATGGTTAAAGTGCTCAGCTTCTCTCTGAAAGATGGAAGGTTTAAGACTATCCATGGAGCTCTGTAAGAATGGCCTGGTAACCTGCTGCAAAAAAACTCCCCAGTCTTTGGAAACCCAAATAGCACAGTTCGACTTTGACACACATGGCGCCAGCATGGGATCGACGCTGAGGGCAGTGGCAGTGGCCGTGGAACAGAAGGTGAGCGCTGCCTCCGGTGCGCATTTGAATCTTCCACCGAATACTGGGGCATGCCACGTAGCACCCTGAGAGCATATGCAGTGTTTTTAAAAAAGGGATGGCTGCTCTCCTTTTGATTATTATCCCTGCCTATGGGTTTAAAGACCCCAAACCCAGACGCTTGCCGCCCTGAGCCCTGAGTGGGATGCATGGCCGGGAGAGGGCATGGCTGTAGGCACGGGCTCTCTGGGATCTGTCTGGCAGGTGGACAGTGGGGACTGTCGGGCTTGTTCCTGCTGCTCAGATAGGCGGTACTGAAGGTAGCGTTTCCTTCCTGCTTGATTCTTCTCCATCCACTTCTGGCTTCTGCTGTCACCTTCTCAGTCACTAGCAGCTGCTGCCTGTTCCTCCAGCCTCTGACGGCAGCAGCAGCGTTAGCAGGAGCCACAGGATGATTGGCAGTGGGCCCCCCTAGGATTCTAATACGGTGTTCACACCATGTCCAAATCTCCAATGTCCTGGATCACAGAATGTACTGTGGACATTAAGTGTCACCTACCTGTCTTCTCAGGCTTTGGAGCAGAGAGTCAGGGAATGAGAATCAAAGAAATTGAGGTTCTCTCTAACTTTTGACCACTATCTGGTAAATACTGAAGCTCCTTTTAGGTTCTGGCTTTGACCTCCCGAGGCAGCAGAGCGTAGTCACATCAGGTAGACAGAAGCTTGGTCATTTGCTCCTCTGTGACCTTGCGTCATGGAGTTAACATCTGGCAGACTCTGTTTCCTTACAAAAATGACAGGAGTTACCTCTCTCGGATTACTTTTATTGTGATAATAATAAAAACAGTAAGAGATATTACTTAGTTGTACCTAGAATAGTGTCCACTGCATACCACGTCCTTAATAACTGTCTATTTCTTTCTTACTCCCTTTCCTCCACTGTCAAAGAGGTCATCTCCTGGTGTGGGAGAGGCGAGAACGCTAAGGACTGTTGTCAGTTACATAGTGCGACTGCAGGCTTTTTGAGGCTCAATTAGGTCAGGTCCAAAGGAGAAGGGATTAGGCATGTGGTCACTGTTGATCGGAGGGAGGGAGGACAGGCTGTGGATGAATCCCTGCTGGGAAGACCCAGGCCGGGCTCTGAAGTCTCAATGACCGGAAATGTTGATACCAAACCAAACTCATTGCCATCGAGTCAATGCTGACTGACCCTAGTGGGTTTCCAAGACTGTCACAGTTGACAGGAATAGGAAGCCCAGTCTCTCTCTCTCTCTGTTGTTTTTGAACTGCAGACCATGTGGCTAGCAGCTCAGTGCTTAACCACTACACCCACAGCTCCAAAATGTTGATGAGTCACCTCTATTGACAGTGCTAACCATGTACATCGCTCCAGGTTCTACGCAGCATTGCAATGGAAGTTCAGAGTCTTTGTCGTCCTTCGTCCCTGGTCATGTCCCCTTGGTGAATGAGGGAAAGCCACTCTGAGCTTACCCCAAGCAGCGGGTGACAGTTCTACTTTCTACCTTGACATTGAGGATTTACCCTGAAGATGGAGCGAGTCATAAGAATACGGAGGCAAATTCCAGTGGACTGGTAACACTTAGGGATTTATGGAGAGTTAATATAGAAACAACAAAAATAAAGAAGTCCTCTATGCACATACACTCAAAAAAAGAAGGGGAAAAAAGTCCCAACAAAGACAAAATACTTAGGTATCAAAGTGGATTATGCATCAGGCTTCTAATTGCAAGGCCTGCAGTTCAAAGCCGGCAGGCCCTCCGAGGGAAAAGGTGAGGCTTTCTCTTGTAGAGTTACAGTCTCAGAAACCCCAGAGGGGTAGTTCTACCTGTCCTGTAGGGTTCCTACGAGTAAGAATTCACTCAATGGCAGTGAGTTTTAAAGTCGATCTTTGTACCTGATGTGCTGCTACATTATGGAGGTAGTTCTAGCACCTGCCAGTTTGAGGTATGGTGGTCGCTTGCATATAACTAGGATGCTGGAAGCTATGGCGTTGGTATTTAAAACTCATCCAGTGGACAGGTTTCGGTGGAGCCTCCAGACTATGCGATTTGAAGTAAAGGCCAATGAAAATCCTATGGATCAAAACATCACATGCTAGAATTGTAGGTATAAAGACATTCAAAATAAATGGTGACTTTGGCAATGGGGAAGAGCAATTCAATGGTCATGAAGATGGTGGTTGCAGGACTAGGCAACACTTTGTTCTATTGGACTTGGGATGGCCACACATAGAGCCCACACAACAGCCACTAACAGATTTGTCTGGGAAGTGGTTCAGAGGGATTTGCTGTGATAGACAATACTTAAATAGTTTGATGATTTCTTTCATTTCTCTTACTGTGGCCCTGAGGCAGTTCCCAAATTAAAGACTGAGAAGAGATACAGCACTTTACTGCCTGCTCTGTGTTTTTCAGGATGCCAGGCCTTATGGAATCCAAGGCAAGCTCTTGATACTGGCAGAGAATGCTACAAAAACAGTACACGCTTGACAAAGTTGTAGTAGGAACCCTTCAGACAATGGAAATGCAACGAATATAGGCTTTGGTTGTGCTATTATTATAAGTGTTTTAAAAATAGTCCTTCATTTCTTTTTGTTGTCTTTCCTTTAATACAGCAATATTAAGTTATGATAAGAAATTCAAACAGCAAAGAATGGGGAGTTAGAAAAAGAAAAACCTTTTAGGGGTTTACACTCAATAGGAAGGGGAGAGATTAGGGGTACACATGTGACAAGATGGGCTGACCCTAGATTCAGGATTGCAGCCTAACTTTGGATGTCACTGAGCAGGTTTGACCTGTTCTCTTGTTTCTTTTAATGTGGCCCTGAGGCAGTTCCTAAATTAAAGACAGCCTAAGGCTATCTTTTCCTATTCCTATATCTCAGAAATAACCACAATTAAATTTTATTGAATATGGAAGGTTGATCATTTTGGTTATGAGTGATGGATATTTTGGGATCCAATTATTCTTCTTGCTTTTGGTCGTACTTGAAAATTATCATAAAGAAAAGTTAATATTTCCTGATGACTACTTATATTTTGGAGTCCTGGCTATTGCAAAGGAGCCCTGGTGGTGTAGTGGTTACGAATTGGGTTGCTAACTGTAAGGTCAGCAGTTCAAAACTATCAACTAGCTCTTCAGGAGAAAGGTGAGACTTTCTACTCCAATAAAGAGTTACATCCAGTCTCAGAAACTCACAGAGGCAGTTCTACCTTATTCTATAGGGTCACTATGAGTTGGCATTAACTCAGTGGCAGAGTTTTGGTTTTGGTTTTGGATGTTGTAAATGGTTAAGCTCTTGGCTACTGACCAAGAGATTGGCAGTTCATATCTACCCAGAGGAGATCAGAAGAAAGGCCTGGTGATCAGGCTCCAAAAGATCATAGACATTGGAAATCCAATGGAAAACAGCTCTCCTAGTTCTGCTCTGCATAGATGGTGTTGTTATGATACGGTCTTGGCTTGATGATAACTAGCACTTACATTATGAAATATGCTCAAAGCTTGTAAGTGCTTTCCCCACATTTTTCAAATACTATCTTTGAAATCCAAGCCCCTCACTTGGTCTTAAAGTAAGGAAGCCTGAGCAAAGTAATAGAGATGTGGATTATACAAGTCTTATTAATGTGAATGAACTATTGAATTATATGATCTGAAAAGTATATTATGTGAAGTATATTTCAATAAAATCATTTTTTTAAAAGAAATGCATTTACGGTAATGATGCCTTTTTTTTTTTTAGCATATCTCTAAACCCTTCCTTTAAAAGTAGGAAGGGTGCTGTTACATTGTGTGGGTTCCAATCAATGTCACAAAATAAGTGTGTATGAATTGTTGAATGGAAAACCAATTTGCTTTGTAAATTTTTACCCAATTGCAATAAAAAGTTTGTAAAGTTTTAAATAAAATGAAACCTAGGGAAAGTGAAAAAAACAAAAGAGAGAGAGACGTGACAAGGCAAGTGATGTGCATGTGGTACTCAGAAGACTTGTGTCTGGAGAGTCAAATAGATGAGTGGCTTACGGGGGCATCTGTATAACCTTGTGGCATGGTTTGTGATTTGAAACAGGTACAAGACAAGGTGTGCCTGTGGTGGGTCTGGTGGTAGAAGGAGGTCCCAATGTGATCGTCTCAGTGTGGGAGATTGTGAAGGACCGTGACCCAGTGGTGGTGTGCGAAGGCACAGGCCGAGCTGCTGATCTCCTGGCTTTCGCCCACAAACACTTAGCTGATGAAGGGTGAGTTGTTGATTTCCATTTTTTACATCATGGAGGCTATTTATTCTTCTATTTTAGTTCTCCACACCACGCAGTTATATGGGTCATAAGTGCTGGTAGTGAAAAATTTTCAATATCAGTCAAAGAAAAAAAAAGAGATAAATTGCTTTGGGAAATTTGCTGCAAAAGACTTCTCTAACATTTAAAAAGGAAAGATATCCTTTTGAAGACTGAGATCCACCTGACTCACACCATGGTGTTGCCATCTACCTCACCGGTTGTAGGAAAACTAGGTAACAGGTATGAAAGACTAAATAATTGATGTCTTCAAATTATGGTATTGGTGAAGAATCTTGGATATACCATAGACTGTCAAAAGAAGAAGCCAGTATGTCTTGGAAGAAGTACAGCTAGAATGCCCTTAGAAGCGAGATGCTAAGAGTTTCCCTCTCATAATGTGGACATGTTGTCAGGAAGGACTGGTCCCTGGAGAAGGACTTTAGCACCATGTTTATGAAAGGAGAGGGTCAGCAAAAAGAGGAGGACTTTCACTGAGATGGATTAACACGGTGGTGGAGCAATGAGCTCAAAACCAGGAGTGACTGTGAGGATGGTGCAGGAACAGGCTGCTGGAACCAAGTTCATGGAACCTTACAAAAAACAATCCTGGTAGTTCAGAGATTGAGACTGGAATTCATTTATCAGTGATGAAAAAAAATGTGTTAATCAATGACGAGAGCTGATGCTTCCTTCGCTGAAGAGTGGCCTGCTGAAGCTTCAGTCCCAACGAGCTTGAGAAAGAAGCCTTTCTTAAGGGGAGAAGGCAGAAGGTACTCAGGGTAACCAAAACAGCCCTGCACTGAACCAAGATCACCTTCATTTCCTTATATTTTAAAAACTAGTAGGAATTGCTCTATTCATTTCTCCAAAATTTGTGGGAAATTGATGTCCTGGCCATACAGAGCCTTTGTTGTCCCTATTGGGGAATTTAAAATACTTTCTTTTTCAAATAAGAAGGTAATTTTTCTTTAGCCATTCCTATAGTCAGTGTGGTTCTTTCCTGCCACGTATTTCAGCTATGTAAATAAATATGGCGCGCGAGAACAAGGATGTAGTCCTCACTCATTTACTTAGGAAGTTCTCAATTACTGCTTTTGAAATAACTGCTCTGGGACTCTTTCCTTCTGATTCCTCTCCTCCTTAGGACCCCTGTGCTCTACTTACTCTTTCTACCCCTTTCTCTCTCTCTCTCTCTTTTTTTTTTAACACTCTCTCCTTCCTAAAAGCACCCTAGATGATTAGTTCATAAATATTTTGATGTCTGAGATAGTTTTGAGCATCTGTTACACATAACTTCTGGAGGTCCATAGCCTTGTCCCGCCCCCTTGCTGTGGAAATCTTTCAGTCCCCGCAAATTGAGAAAGACCAAACTTTATTAGTGGTTACAAGGGGCAGGTGGAATGGAAAGAGGAGAGCAATTATTTAGGAAGCATTGGGTTTCCATTGGGAGGATGGGAAATTTGGCAACAGACACTGGTGATGGTTGGCACAGCATAATTCACGTAATTGATGCCACTGAATTGTACATGTAAAATATATTGAATTAGCAAACGCCGTGTTATATATATTTTACAAGAATTGGGGGTGGAGGAGCTGCTTCTGTGTCCCTATTTTAGGGTCCTGGGAGATCATTCTGTTTCCACTTTAAAATTCAGCCTCATTCAGAGCCACTGCTTCTTTTTGCTTCCTGCTGACTTGCCTTCCTGGCAGAACAGTCTATGGAAGTCGTCTCAATTAGGTGGGAGGTTGGGATTTCTTGTTCTGATGTTTCTGGACCATTCCCTTCTCTGGGCTGTGTCCAACCACAACCATTTTTCTCTCTCCTAGGACTCTTCGTCCTCAGGTGAAAGAGGAGATCATTGACATGATCCAGACCACTTTCAACTTCAGTCTAAAACAGTCCAAGCACCTTTTTCAAATTCTGATGCAGTGCATGGTGCACAGGGATTCGGTGAGTATGAGGGGTACAAGGTTCGGTGGGATTAAAAAATTTCCGATTTCTAACAATTATCCTATTTCTAATGATTTTCACAAACATGGGATTAAAAATGATTTCTCACTTGACTATATATAACTCTGCTGAACTTGACCCACATTTAAGTAAGGTGGGTTTCTTATTTCATCCTCCCCAGCCTTGAAATTCTAGACTCTACTTGGGGTGGAGGGTAGGGCGGAATACATACGGAACATGGCAGTGTTGAAGAAAAGATTTCAAATTGAGTGAAAAATACGTGTAAGTCTTTTCTGAGGGTAAGTGATGTCAAGTCTGTTTCCATCATGGTACCCTTAGTAAATGCAGCAGGAGAATTGAGGAGGTAATTGCACGATGAGATAGGTGAGAAGATAGCCTGAGCTAGAAAGTGGAGTCTACTGTGGGCTGTAAATGTAATGCAGAATAAAAGAAAAGAAAACCTCACTGCCATTGAGTTGGTTCTGACTCATAGTCACGCTGTAGGACAGGGTAGAACTGGCCCTGAGGGTTCCCAAGACTGTAACCCTTTACGGGAGTAAAAAGCCTCCTCGTTCCCCCTTGAAGCAGCTGGTGGTTTCCAACAGCTGACCTTCAGGTCAACAGCTCAGTGTGCAACCCACTGTGCTACCAGGGCTCCTTTGAAGTGGGGTAAAGGGGAAGGGCTTAGTGTTTTAGAGTACTTTGATCGAAGTACTTTTTATTAGCGATTTGGATCAAAGTTTGTTGGTGCTATGACCAGAAAGATGTGAATCAGTGTGATCTTTCTAGAATTTGAAGGCTAGACCAATTTATATAAGATTTTTTTAAATGATATTTCGGTACCTGGCCTTAAAAACACAATTTCGGCTAGAAAAAATGTGGCTAAATACATGTGAAAAATGACTTGCGATTTGTGTTCACCTAATAACAACAATAATAATAAACCACATTTATAATTAGCTGTGTGTTTTTATATACATTCATATATGAAATAGCTCCATGAATTCAATATGCCAGCGATTGTTTATTTCAGTTTTAGAGATGATGAAATTGTAGCCCAGAGAATTTAAGTAAAATGCACAAAATCATGTCATTTAAGAAATGGTAGAACAGGAACTTGAGCTGAGGACTGGTCCTCTAAGATCCCAGAAGCTATTCTTTCTGATAGCTGGGCACCATCTAGTTTCTTCACCATACTTTTCTATAGCACCCATATCTTCAGTGATCTCTTCATGAAGGGGAGCATCAAGTAGAGCCATGCTATATGAACTAATTGTACTTAGATTGAGGCAAGAATTAAGTGCAAGCCCAATGTCCATGCGTGCATCTATGATTTATATATTTCTCTGGCTTGCTTGACAGGCATCATTATAATTGTATGTTAGAGAACATCATCAATCACTCCCCTGGGGCATCATCACTTCCACTGCCATCAAGTCAATGCTGACTCATAGTGACCCTACAGGGCATGGTAGATAGAGCTACTGCTATGGGCTCATTTTGTTTGGTTGTTAAACCAGCTCCTTCCACTATATAAAATATATTTGCCTGGGTGAAGACTGAGATACATTGACTAATAGAAGGTGATTAAAAAGGCTAATAAAGTCCTTATTTGTCTTAAAAATCCAGTCACTTATCGGTACACTTTGAACATCATAAAGATCACCTGCCCTATCCATTGTAACTGCTCATTGCCTCCCTTGAGATAAATCCTGGAGGGTTCATTTCTCATAGAGTGAAAGTCTTAGTTTCTAAGGGGAGGTACACAGAAGGATCTCATTTGGAGGGTGATTTTATGTATATTAGGAATTGATATTGGTATTCTTTTATAATAGCATTGTGCACAATAAATTAGAGCAATGTTAGAACCCAGGGAACTTTTATTTATTTTCCGCAAGGGTCCAAACTTCTTTATTAGCTCATTTAAAAAATTATCTCTTCTATAATGAAAATAATTAAAAAATTATTTTATTGGGGCTCCTACAACTCTTATCATAATTCATACACCCATCCATTGTGTCAAGCACATTTATACATTTGTTGCCATCATCATTCTCAAAACATTTGCTCTCCACCTAAGCCCCTGGCATTAGCTCCTCTTTTTTTCCCCTCCCTCCCTGCTCCTCCT